TTCCTTTAAAGGAACATATATTCTTGCAACCCTTAAATATTTGCTAGAAGAACAGTTTTCAGTACAACTGATCTTTTTCTTCTGTGTTCTTACAGACAGAGGGTGTCACATTGCAGGAAGCAGTGTGCATAATCAGCGGATAGAGCGGCTCTGGCGAGACATGTGGTGCACAGTTACCTGCAATTACTATGCATCATTTCAGTACCTGCAAGAAGTGGGTGCACTGGACCCTGATGATGAACTCCACCTCATTTGTTTACACTGTGTCATGATTCCACGACTCAACCAGCATCTTGAGATGTTCACCAGGGGCTGGAACAGTCATCCTCTCTCAACACAGCAAATGAGGACACCTGACCAATTGTGGATCCAAGGACAACTGCAAAACTATAGTGAAGACCACGTTTCATCTGAACCATGGCATTCAAATATGGTAAGAGACTTTGAATGAATTCTTCCCCATAAACAGACAGTATTTGTGTAACATTTTTAAAAGATACTTTAAAATGGTATGAACACCTATAATTGATTATTATCTGAGGACAGGCCGTGGACTGGTAATTAGATCAATTGATGTTACTATTCCCTAGTTGGCTCAACAATTGAATTATTTTTTAATTAATTATGTTCTTTTTTTATCTCAAGTCTGACTTCACAGATTACGGAATAGACTGGGACGGACCTGTTCCCCACCATGACCTGGATCGTGCTGTAGAGGTTCCGGAGCCTCCTTTGTCTTATCTCCACACATTTGAACAAACCTTAAGACAGCACACTGACCCTCTACAGTCAAGCACATGTTTTGGACTGGACATATATTTGGACGCTCTTCAGTTTGCCAGTCATCGCCATTCTTAACTATTTTACCTGACAATCTCCTGTTTTTCTGTGCAGTTTATACCAGAAGGAAACACTCACTGTTCAAAATGACATTTATTTGTAAAAAATGACATTGCCACAAGAGGGCATTTCAGTGAACTGTTGACATATAATGCTGTCAATAAAATTGAACACTGCAGAATGTTAGTGTCCCACAAACTGGAATGAAGTATTAGCATTACAGAAAAAACAGCAATTTATGCTACTCCAAACCCTGGCGAATTTTTTATTCCAAAGTCCATGTCACACTTGAAATCATCGTATGAGGCCTTGCATGGTATTTTTAGGATATTAGCACAAATGTTGGCCTGGGGATACCTGGATGAATCATAAAGGAACTGTACTGTAGGCTGAGGGTCAAAGCCAAGAGCAGGGTCACTTCCTGTTGCAAAAACAAGTATCTCTTCCAGTGTGACATCAGTGATTCCCACTACAAAAGAAAAAAGTATGATCGTGTATGAATATCTAGTGAACACTTGAACTATCAAGAGGTCAGTAAGAATGAATTGCTTACTCTCCGTTTCTAGTAGGTAATCTCTCCAGTGACACACTGCTTCACTTTCTTGATCATATTTGTTGCTCCCATACTCAGAACGTTCCTCTTTGCAAAGTTAAGATGTCCCGGTAGGTGCGGGTGGAGCTATGCGGTAGGAGTGGAACGAGACTTCACGAGACTTTCGGCAGTATCCAACATGGCGGCGCGCTTCTAAAACAAACTAACAACAAGTAATCAGATATTTTCGCCAACTTAGAATAACCTAAAATTAAGTGAGTAAATAAATAAAAAGTATATAATTAATTGCGGTTTATTTAACATCTTCACTCTGGAGGAGTCTGCGGACGGATTGGATAACCTATTTACTTTCATCGACGAGTGTTTTGATCGGATTATAATGGGGAAACCTAAGCCTCTCAC